CAAAACGCACTAAGATGAAGTGGCTAGCCTGGGTACCCCCTTTAGTGACCGGGGGTCGGACCCAACCTCTCCCTGAAGGGATGAAAATGGTCCACTGCATGCCAGGGTTCAGCCTCTTATCCCTGAAGACCCAGCAACAGGCCATCTTGGGTACCCCCTCAGGGAATGTATGTGATATACTGCCTACATGAAGCCAGGCCAGGGTTCAGCCTCTTACCCCTGAAGACCCAGCATACAGCATATCGGTAAGAGTTCTCAACCTGGGTTCCTTCAGCAAACAGGGGTCTGTCCTATCTCTCTAGGAAGTGATGACAGCGGTCCACTGCATACATGAGGCCCAGTTGAGTCTAAGCCCTTATCCCTGAAGACCCAGAAAACAGCACACGTGTAAGAGTTGCCAGTCTGGGTACCTCCTTTAACAATCAGGAGTCTAACCTATCTCTCTCCCTGAGGGGATGACAGCGGTACACTGCATACATGAGGCCCAACAGAGTTGTGACTACCGAGGTATACCTATTCTATGTATTCCACCATGTATGGTGATGATGAATGGCATATGGGGTACAGATGGAAGCCTATAGTTTAAACAGTTTAGGCTGTCATTTGTTCAAATCCCCATTTTGTCGCTGAAACACAGGCCTGCAACGGTTCAGGTAAGTGCATTGGTAATTTAGATTAAAACTAGTATAGGCACCTGGGTCTCTGTTCTTTCAGTCCCTCCCAGCTGCTTAGATTAGGCTTCCTTCTAACAAATAGGTCACATGTAGGAGATTTGTGTGGTGAGCATTTAGGTAAGTTTATACAAGGATGTTTGGTGCAAAAGAGTGCTGATAATACAAGTATGCGTTGGGCAAAGTAGTGCTGATAATGCAAAAAGAGTGCTGATAATGCAAGGAGGCATTGTGCAAAGGAGTGCTGATAATGCAATGAGACATTGTGAAAAAGAGTGCTAATAATGGATATCCTGGCTGTATGAAGTTTGTTGGGATTCCACAGCCTAAAGATAGAGAAATATCCAAGGTAAGAGAACTTTCTTGGGTGTCTGATTGAAGTACACACATGTATATGACCGGTTTTAAAATCCTAACTCTAAATCCACACACACACACAAACACACATACTTGTTTCTATCAAGGCATGTGGCATTGATTGCTGTTATCTGTGCATTATCACAAATAAGCAGGCTTTTGCAGACAGTGGAAGAATATACTGCACAGGAGACCACTGGGCCTCAGTATCTGTACATGATCTGGTGGTGGTACAGCATCGGTATGTTTCCACTATATGCTCTAATGTATACATTGGTATGAAGACTCAGTGTGTGTCCAGTATATGCTCTATGTATGAGTTACTGTGAGGACACGGCCTCAGTATATGTATCCACTATATACTCTATGTATGAGTCACTATGAGGACACAGCCTCAGTATATATATATCCACTATATGCTCTACGTATGGGTTACTATGAGGACACGGCCTCTGTATATGTACCCATTATATGCTCTTGGTATCAGTTACTATGAGGACACGGCCTCAGTATGTATATATATATATATATATAAAATATTATATATTATATATATATCCACTATATGCTCTTTGTAAGAGTTACTGTGGACATCGCCTCAGTATAAGTATCCTCTATATGCTCTCTATAGGAGTTACTATGAGGACACAGCCTTAGTATATGTACTCACTATATGCTGTATGTATGAGTTACTGTGAGGACACAGCCTCAGTATATGTACCCACTATATGCTGTATGTATGAGTTACTATGAGGACTCAGCCTTAGTATATGTACCCGCTATATGCTGTATGTATGAGTTACTGTGAGGACACAGCCTCAGTATATGTACCCGCTATAGGCTCTATGTATGAGTTATAATGAGGACTCTGCCTCAGTATATGTATCCACTAGATGCTCTGTGTACTGAGTGTGCACCTTCCTATCACTCCGGCCAGGCACCGAGGACTGGAGAGTAGCTCGGCCACGCTACAGGGAAGGGGAGGAGAGGTGAGGGGGGAGGGAGGGAGAGTAAGTGAAGGAGGTGAAGGGGGGAAAGAGAGAGTAAGTGAAGATGGGGGGGGATTAGATGAAGGGGGGAATGAGAGTAAGTGAAGGAGGGGGTGAGAGAGCAAGTGAAGGAGGGGGTGAGAGAGCAAGTGAAGGAGGGGGTGAGAGAGTAAGTGAAGGAGGGTGGGAGAGAGTAAGTGAAGGAGGGGTGGGAGAGGTAGAATTGAAGGAGGGGGGAGAGAGAGTAAGTGAAGGAGAGAGAGTAAGTGAAGGAGGGAGAGAGAGTAAGTGAAGGAGGGGAGAGAGTAAGTGAAGGAGGGTGAGAGAGTAAGTGAAGGAGGGTGAGAGAGTAAATGGAGGGGAGTAAGTGAAGGAGGGAGAGGTAAGTGAGAGGAGGGGAGAGAGTATTAAGTGAAGGAGGAGGGGTGGGAGAGAGTAAGTGAAGGGGAGGGGGAAGAGTAAGTGAAGGAGAGTGATAGAGTAAGGAGGGGAGAGAGTAGAGTAGAAGGAGGGAGAGAGAGTAGTGAAGGAGGGTGAGAAGTAAGTGAAGGAGGGGTGAGAGAGAGTAAATGGAGGGAGTAAGTGAAGGAGGGGGAGAGAGAGAGTAAGTGGAAGGAGGGAGAGAGTAAGTGAAGGAGGGTGAGAGAGAGTAAATGGAGGGGGGAGTAAGTGAAGGAGGGGGAGAGGGAGTAAGTGAAGGAGGGTGGGAGAGAGTAAGTGAAGGAGGGTGGAGAGAGAAAGTGAAGGAGGGGGGAGAGAGAAAGTGAAGGAGGGGGGAGAGCGTAAGTGAAGGAGGGGGGAGAGAGTAAGTGAAGGAGGGGAGTAACAGAAGGAGGGGGAGGGGGAGTAAGAAGAAGGGGGGTATGTGTGTAGTGTTGCTCACTAATTCTAGTATCCTTAAATAGGGCAATCACACACAAAGGTACAAAATTAGAGAGATTTCTACTTTTCAAATCCTTTACAACTGTTTGCCAAACGATTTTATTTTTTGGGGGGTTGTAAATTATATGTTTTTATGCTGTTGTGCAGGACGTGAACATTGCTGCCTCAGTGAGTTGGAAAACCACTGTATTGGCATGGCATCATTTCTTTTACACCCTGCACATCATTGACTTTTATTAAAAAAATTAATGAACACAGAAACATTGATTGCCAAACAGGCACATACATAGGTAAGCCCTTGCCTTTATAAAGAGGCTTAGTAAATCTTTGTACAGAGACATAGGCAAGCTCATAGTCTTGTTACACCTCTATATAAAAGCATAGGCTTCCCTCTGTATAAAGCTATAGAAAGCCTATGCCTTTATACAGATGCATGGAAAAGTCTCTGCAAGTATCTGTTTTTACATTGAGGTATAAACAAACCCATGTCTTTATGCAGAGGAATAGGCATCCCATGCCCTTATACAGAGGAAAAGGCAAGTTCATGTCCTTATACAGAGAATTACAGCCACTGCAACCGACAAGCTGAGTGTTAGGGGGGGACACTTAATGATCAGTGGCCTGTTCGAGCCACTGGCGGATCCAGGGGGGGGCAACGGGGCAATTGCCCCCCCTGAGAAATCCAACAGTCTCTCTCTCCCTCCCCTGTCAGCACATGCAGGTGCTAGCCCTGCAATGTGCCTGCGGACCGGAGGGGAGATCACAGATCTCCCTCCCCGGTCCGCAGGCACAGTGCTTACAGCCGGCAGGGGAGGGAGAGGGAGGAGAGAGGACCCGGGAGCTCAGTCTGCAGCTCCTCCGGGTCCTCCTCTTGCGAGATTTGGAGCGTTGCCGCGGTTACCACGGCAACGCTACAAATCTCGCGAGAGTGAACTCTAGCCCGGGAGCGCGGGCTAGAGTTCACTGTAACCACTGGGACCACCAGGGAATCACCACTGGGACCACCAGGGATCGAAATATGTCCCCCCTCCTCCCCAGCAAAGGTAAGAAGGGGGGGGACATAGAATATTTGTTTTTGTTAATTAAATAAAGATATATATTATAAAAAAGCCCCCCCCTACCCTTACACACACACACACATGCCCCCATGCTGCCCCCCCATACACACATACTGCCCCCCATGCTGCCCCCCCCATACACACATACTG